ACCAAACTTTTTTTTTTCAGCAGTTTTCGGTGGATAACAGCTTTTTTTTTTTTTTTTTTTTTTTGGCTTCCTGACTCATGTGTATTTGTTTTCATTTCATTCACTGACACCTTCGATGATGATTTCTGGCCTTCTGTGTCACTCATTATTCATTAACATGTATCTCTGTTCGGAATGGGCTGGCATGAGTCTCATTGTATGATAGCAATGAGTAAAAGTGTCGCAATTTATTTTGTATCACAATATTAACACTGATGTTAAAAGTGAAAATGTTTAACATGAGCTAACTGACTACTTTATCTGCCTCATCAGGTAGCTAGCCTGCAGTCAGCTAGCTAACAGACAGGACTCTGATAGCTTGCTAACTACTTTGAAACAGTGTTAGCTTTTAGGGAAGTATAACTCTACGCTCCATAGAGCCAGGAAAAACTCTGGCTCTTTAAATTAAAAGGTCTTTAAGCCACAAAACATAGTTATACACCTTTAAAAGTCTTGAAAAGTATGGACTTTGATTTCAGTTTTAAAAAAGTGTATAGAACAATATCTCATTGTCTAAAAATGGTGTTCTTCCTTCCCTTTTCTTCGCTACATCTTTCCTTCTTTTGTGTCCTTACTTGTGTTCTTGACGAACTTTCTTTCCTTTCTTGTCGGTACTTTACCTGTACAAACCAGACATTTTGAAGGCACCACGCTTTGCTACAATTTTTCTGTAAAGTTGCACAAAACTTTAAATCAAGTCACTTAGATTCTAAGAATAAAAAATAATAGAAACAATAAAACTAGCAAAAAAGCAAGGAGAGAAGGGTGCACTGATAAATTGCTACATGTGAATCAGATCTTATCTTTAGCTTGTTTCCATCCAATAGCCATGCAAATTTTTAGTGAACTTCTAAAATGTTGCAAAAAAAAAAAAAAGTATATAAATGAGGCATGTTTCCATCTACTGGTTTGGAGTGAATCAACTATGCTACAAGATGTAATTTTGTCAGATATTGATGCTACATATGGCTGTAATTAAACAAGATATAGAGATTTTTACTACCTATCTAAGAAGAATAGAGCAGTTACTGTCCTTCAGAAAAACCAAAACTCCACTTTAAGCAGTGCAAAAATCTTTTTTTTTTTTTTTTTTTTTTTTTTTTTTGTAGGACTACTTAGTGGTCTGTCATTGGCTATAAAACTGCAGTCGGTGCACCTGAGTTACATGGTCAAAAAATTATGCAGAATAAATACTAAAATAAACAATTTATGGATGTCTAAATTGTAAGGTTTTTGGCAAATTGTATTCTATGGATGTAGAAATTAATGTGTAGAAATCTGGAGCAGGTTTAAACTGCCCTTCATGACCGATGCAGTATTAATTTAAAAACCTTTAAAAAAAAACTCTCACTACTAATTCTCATAAATCTGCTTTTCATTCGGTGTCACTTGTACTAAAAAGCCGCCTTTTCATTCCCCAGCAAATCAAGCACTATCAAGAGGCCAAAGGAGCCACCCCCACTCCCTCCGAAGGTAGGAGTGCTTGTTGTTTTCAATCAGTTTGTAACTTAATATACAGCAGAAGAAAAAAACTCCTTTTTATTTACTCCCAGCCTAAGTCTCTCAGCTCCTCCCAGCACCAGCCTCAACACAAAAACGATGACGGCCAATCGCACAACAATGACGACGACACCGGAGGGGGAACCATCAAGCGGTGCCCGGCCACAGAGACGCCGAGCCCCGCCAAGGCGTCCACCAGCGTCCCCCCGCGGCCCCCGCCCCCGAAGCTGCCACCCCACCGCCGCAGCAGCCTAGGTAACGACAGCCCGCAGCGCAAAGACGTGGAAAGCTCTGCCCCAGAGGATGATGATGATGGGAGCTTTAGGCATTTCTGGGAGTGGCTCCACACGCCTCACACAGAGGAGGAGCTGGAGGAGGCGTGGGAGGTGCTGAAGGAGGTGAAGGAGGAACAGGAAAAGGAAGAGAGTAAGAGCAGCTGATTGGTAGCCGGGTAGTGTCCACAGACCCTGTTGTTCCCTTCAGCTTTTTTTTTTTTTTTTGTGGTCTCCCATTAGCCAGTTCTTGTTCTTGTAGACTAACTGATGTATCTGTTCCATGAGCCCATTAACAGCAACGCTTTTTAAGTTTTATTTTATCCTTTTCTTTAAAGTTCCTTCTCTCCATCAGCTCCTGCTCCGTATTACTGTTTGTCTTTTCTGAAGTCTAATTATTTTCCTTTTTTGTTTTTTAATCCGGTAAGTCAAAAGCTACTGCCGCTTTCCCTCACTCTCTAGGAGGAAGAAGTCACAGTTCAGAGTCAGATGATCACTTGTTGAAACTAAGAATTCAGTTGAGGCTCATATTTTACAGCAAAATGAAGAGAGAAAATAGTTTGCAGAGCAATATCCAGGGTCTGAATTTCAGAAGGGCTTGTTGTGATGCGTATCTGAGATTTTTCTCCTATATAGTGTGTTTTGGCCCCAGGCTGTGAATCAGAATGTCTTATCCTTTCTTCCAGCATGAAAAGGATCGCTAGTTCCAAATCTGGAAAACATGTTTATTCTCACACATTTGCTTAGTTTGATGTAGTCAGCAAAATTCTATTTTAGTTGTTTGATCATGTTGGTTGTTTTTTTTTTGTTTTTTTTGTTTCCTGCGCCTTGCAGTGTGTTTACCTTTAATTGTTTCACATCAGAACCTTAAACGTTACTGGAGCCCCGTTTGCCACAAACCATGTACAGCAGAAAGAGGAAACTCTTGGGAGAACTGATAAAATAAGACCAGAATTTAATATTTTTGGATACTTGCAAAAATGTTGTTGGAGACAGCAAAAGACCTAAAAGTGGTGTGAAGATTCACCACCTAACAGGACAATGACCCCACTCTAGCTGCGATGGAGTGGTTTGGATCAAAAGATACTCACCTAAATACGACAAGGAATGTTCAGACACTCACCGTCCAGCCGACTTAACATGAACTATTTCGCAATGAATGGGCAAAAAACGAAGCCTGTAGATGTCCAACGCCAGTCGAAGTATACCTCAGAGGTCTTTGAGGCTGAATGGCAGCTGAAGATTGTTCTACAAAGCTTTCACTGAGGAAGATTGAACACAAATTTACTTTTTTTTTTTTTCTTTTTTAGATTTTTATCCTTCATTGTATCACTTTGTGTTGCACTGTCAGATAAAATCTCAACAAAATCGCACATCCTTAAAAAGTCTTAAATTCAACTGAAATTAAGGCCTTAAAATATCTGAAATCCGTTAGAATTTAAGATAACGTATTTAAGTTGGTGTTAAATACGTTAATTTTGTCGTGGCAGGACTATTTAATTTATGTAGGGAAGTTTTTCTCGTAGGACAGAAGCTTTTCCCTGTCAGAAACGTCAGGGAAACGTTAGTTTGTTGTCTTAAATTTGAGCTGGTGAAACCTTGGTCAAGTATGTGGCAATATAAAAACTGTCAAGGGCCATAAATACTTTTACATGGCACTGTGTTTTCCTCTGACTTGTCGTACCTTCCTTGTGTTTTCTTCGCCGGCCAGGGAAAGACTTCCTTAAGCACGAGTGTGTGGCTTTCTGTGTCATTGTGGATGGGGTTGTTGGGCTGACAGGACCGGGTAAAAACAAGGGCTTGGTCACGACTCGCAGATTCCTTCTCACCATGGAGATATTGGACTCATTTCACACAAACGGGCTTTCCAAGCTTTCCAAAAATGACTTTTCAGAACAACAGCAGAGGAGAGGAGATAATCACTGTTTTCTGGAGGCCCGTCTGTGTCTGAGCAGCACATTGTCGCAGCAGAAATAACTTCACAAACAAGTGCTGCGGATAGGATTCCGAATTTTTTGACGTTAGCCTCAGTCGCTCCGCTCGCCCTCGCTGATTTATTTCCGCCCGTCCACGCAGTGCTGACAACACTTGAACCACACCCACTCAGCAGATCAGAGGTCTTTTGTCTTTTCATGCCAGTAGTGCAGCTTGTAACGCGTCGTCTTGTGTGCGCAGAGGTTGTTTTGTCAGCTGCTGTCCAGCGGTAAGCAGTTGGCGCATTCACACCCTTCATTGCTCATGCATTATATTTGACTCTGTATTCTTCCTGCTAGTCTCCTCCCCTCTCTCTGCTCCCAAGTTGTTTTGCCTGTATAATTCCTCTCTGTCTCCAGTACCTCAGGTTAAATTGTTCACATCATAACCAATAAATATGTCTGAAACCTCTCAGCCACACACTCATTCAGCTGCTGTGTCGCTGGTGTTGTTGTTTTAGGTAATGGGCTGAACTCTCCCCATAACGGTGAGAGGGAAAGTCCTGGAGAGAGGCAATCTACCATGCCCCCTAGCGTCCCCATACGGAAAGACAAGAAGGATGTTCCCGTAAGTAAACGTTCTACTTGAGTTCGATATTAGATGTTAAACTAAATATTATTGAACTGTTTGTTGAAATAAGCACACTGCTAAATGTTTCTTTTCTTATCTGTGCCTTAGAAGCCTATCAGTAACGGTCTTCCTCCAACACCTAAAGTCCATGTAAGTTTCCGTGTCTTTTGTGATCACAGTGGACAGAATAGCCACAATTCAGGGTTTTCCAAGCAAGTAAAATCATGTTGTGGAGCCAATTTCAGTTAGTTTTATTGGTTTTTAGTTGTTACTCTTTTAAGAAAATGGATGGAGTGTACCGTTTTCTAAGCAGTCAAACAAAGATTGTAACAATAAATGCATACGTAACAGTCCAAAGAACAAAATGCAGTCTGGAAAAGTATGGAATTTGATTTTAATATTTTCCATGTCTGGATGCTAAGACAATTAATAATGGAAAAATAATGGTATTTCTAGACCAGGAGTCTATAACCTTTACTATCCAAAGAGCCATTTTCCCCAAGTCCAGCTAAATTAAACTTGAGAGCAACAAGTTTTGCATGAGCTCTTAAAAAAAGACATGTAATTTTTAACCTGTCGCTACTGCAGGAAATGTAACATTTTTAAAGAACCACCATTTTATTTAATTTTTCCAACTGTAAAATTCAGAAAACCATAAAACTTTAGCTTAAATAAGACAAATACATTTTCTTTCAAGGGATTTCGATATTTGTGAAAAAACACTAGGTGTTTTCCACCTAGTGGCAAGAAAATTAGATATAAAATATTATTGGTACTTTGAGTGTCATTCTGTTGTGAAAATTCAATATTGAAAAACTTCTAAAAGCTGCATTTATCTCACTTTTTTTTTTATAGATTTGGTATTTAATGGCATCCCTCTCTAGAAACATCTTTAGTAAACTCCTGGTGAACTTCTGTACTTATAGTTAATGACCGAATGATCCTGTTTGGTAACTCCACCATATTTGACATTAAAATATGGTGCGAGGATGAATAACCATGACAACAGAAGTCAGGCTAATAAAGAATAAAGATCATCTTTCCTGTTTACAGATGGGCGCCTGTTTCTCCAAGGTGTTCAATGGCTGTCCGTTGAAGATCCATTGTGCCACGTCATGGATCAACCCCGACACCAGAGGTAACCAAGAGGAAAACCCATCTGGGTTCAGAGCAATAATCTGTAATCTCTTCCTCCCTTTACTTCAGTTTGTTAAATCTAAGCATCTTTTCTGTTTCTCTGCTTCAGATCAGTATTTGATATTCGGAGCTGAGGAGGGAATCTACACGTTAAACCTTAATGAGCTTCATGAGACAACGATGGAGCAGGTCAGACACAACATAATAAATGCAAAACATCATTAGTAAAGAATTCATACCCCTTGGACTTCTCACCTTTTTGCTAAAACCACAGTCATCTATGCGCTCAACTGGGATTTAATGTGACCAATGAGTGGATGAAAAAGTACACACTCAGTTCTTTTTTAAAAAGTTACAATTTTTGATTATGCATGAGTTGCATTCTTGCAGAATAGAGAAAGACAAGTAATTGTAAAACTTGAACATTGTTACTTAACCAGTTATTTTCCTGTAGTTATTGCTATAAATGAGGTATTTTTGTTTGTTTGTAGCTCTTCCCTCGGAGGTGTACGTGGTTGTATGTCATGAACAATTGTCTTCTTTCTATATCTGGTGAGTTAAGAAGCTCATTTATAACGGACAACTAATGTTGTATTCGTTAGTTGTTTTTTTTCTCCTGCTGTTTTGCATTCCACGTTACATTTTTCAGATTTCTGACTCTTTAATGACCTGGTGTGTGTGATGAATAATGTCTCACTGCAGGAAAAGCCTCCCAGCTGTACTCCCACAGTCTGTCCGGACTCTTTGAACAGGCCAGACAGCTGCAGAAGCTACCAGTAGCCATTCCCACACACAAACTCCCTGATAAGATTATCCCAAGGTAACGTCACAGTCAGGAAGTCCAACCTGTTAATTATTTTCTTTTTAGGCATTTTATCTCTTCATCTTTTTTTGAAGGAATCCACCTTTTTTGACTTGAAATTAAATAGGTTAACGACAACAAAAGCAGCCAATTCAGAATAAAGTTTTTGTATATTTGCCTCAGGTTAATAAGCCTGTTTTGGTGAGTAATGTCTGCTTGTGCCTGATTGTAGGAAGTTTGCCGTTTCCAATAAGATTCCAGACACTAAAGGATGCCAAAAGTGTTGTGTGGGTAAGCATCTGTCGTACTGTTCATTTTACAGCTCTGTAGTGTACATGTGCGTACATTATAGAAGTCAATATTTGAAAAAAGAAATCCTAATGACATTTTTAATTCAATAAGTTTCCAACTATTCAGGAAATGGTAACATCAAACCAAAGGTTGTAAAGAAGACATGCGAGTGATAATGTGTGTCATTTCCTGCTAGTCCGCAACCCGTACACCGGCCATAAATACCTGTGTGGAGCCTTCCAGTCCAGTGTCATGCTGCTGGAGTGGGTGGAGTCCATGCAGAAGTTCATGCTCATCAAGGTCAGTCCCAGACTGCTCTACATTATGTCAAGCTCTTTTTTTTTGTCTTATAAACAAAATATGTTTTACTTATTCACATAAAACAAAAAACATATTTAGTATTTATATAAGATGGGGAAAAAAAACACATACCTTGATTATAATCTTTACCTTTTCCAGTCTTTTATAGTACAGTACAGCTCCTGAACTGCAAACAACTACTTCTAGGTCTTTTCTAAACACTTTTTTCTCAAAAAATATAGTAAGCATTTTAGATTACTTTTTTTTTTTTTTTTTGTTTAGGGAAGAAAAAAATAAATGCAAATTTTCATCCCACCTAATTCAGAGCCCTAATCATCTTCCTACTCACGCATCTACACAACCTTAAAAAGTCTTAAATTCCTGTATTTAAAATTAAGGCCTTAAAATGTCTTTTTTAAAATTTACATTTTTACGTTAGCTTGAAACTTTGAACTTGCATGGAACCGTTTGGTGCCTAACAAGACACTAAGATTTCCATTTCTTTATTTTATAACAAGCCAAATGAAAGCAGTAATAACTGCGCTAGTTTATATTTTGTCAAATGTGCACAATCTAGAAATTCAGGTCTGTAAAACTATGAAATTTGAAGATGAAGCATATGTAGGACTTAATCCTGACTTAACAAATAGAATCTGCTATCTGACACAGTTTCACATCTACAAACTTTCTCCCATATTTCTAATTCCTTTTTCCTCTGCAGAACATCGATTTCCCGTTGCCATGTCCGTTGGAAGTCTTTGAGATGTTGGTGGTCCCGGAGCACATGTACCCTCTGATCTGCGTGGCGGTCAGCAAAGGAACTGAACTCAACCAGGTGGTCCGGTTCGGCACCGTCAACCCCAATGCTACCTCCTCCTGGTTCACAGAAGCAGGTCAGAACAGCGTGGCTCTTTCTGGGGCTTTTTAAAAATATTTATTTATTTATTTTTATTTATTTTTTATTTTTTTGCAAAAAACAACTGGAGTCGAAACCAAACCCGGTCCTGATGTTTTTCTTTGCAGACATGCCACAGACATGCGTGATCCACGTCACGCAGCTGGAGCGAGACACTATTCTGGTCTGCCTAGACAGTGAGAAACACAACTTCTACTCATCTCAACGTTTACAGTTCTAGACCAAATGAAAACACATTTATAGATCATACTCTGATTATTTTTTTTTCTTCTGTCTCATCTTTGTTTGCCTTTCAGGATGTATAAAGATAGTGAACCTCCAGGGCCGGCTAAAATCCAGCCGGAAGTTGTCCGCTGAACTCACCTTCAACTTCCAGATCGAAGCTATAGGTACCAGAAGGAAGGCAGACCAGCTGATTAAGAAAGCTTTTGAAACATTATTATTATTACAGTAATGTGAAAAAAAACATGACTTTCTATTAAATATTCTATTGTTTTAAAGAAATGTTCACATGTCAATGACATATCTGTTATTTTTCTGGAATAGGAATCTATTTAATTGCACATAGCAACAAAAAAATAAAAAAATTTTTGTCAGGGATAAAAACTAAGTCCTCTAGCTGAGGAAAAAGTTAGGACACCCTACCCCCGAATAATTAGTCCAACCACGCAAGTATGTCTGTAGACGAAGTAGGAAGACATTTTTTTAAGGATCACACCTGATTGGACAAAATTAACGTCTGTCTTTGAACTTTTTCTTATTTATCCAGCATTAGACTTTCAATTATTTATTTAGTTTCATGATAAAAGCCTTATTTTTGATTAAAGCAGAATGAATGTCTTCTTTTCTTGCAGTTTGTCTTCAGGACAGTGTTCTGGCCTTCTGGAGACATGGCATGCAAGGTCGAAGTTTCAAGACTAATGAGGTTAGTCTGATATTTTAGCGCTGACCTGTGTTTTTACAACAGAATATACTTTATTCAACCCCAAAGGTAAATTGCTTTTTCCCCTCTGAAATAAAAAATGAAATCACGGTAGAGTTGTGGAAGAGGTTTACCACCAGCTAATAAGGCAATAAGCTTTTTCCTCTCTGGTAGTAAAATCTCTAGCTTTATAGATTTTATGTAATTGTGATACTCCCAACTAATCACTCTAGATTTATCCTGTCAGATTGTTTTGCTCAGAAATGAGAAGTTAATAATAGTATCATCATGCCTGTCAAGATTAACCGCTAACGCTAAACAGGGAATGAAACCCAATGGGGATATGAGGCTCACTCATTGTAGACTTTTTAACCAGTCTCTAGATTTCTGTTTAGTCTTCAAATTTCTGTCCACTTTCTATCTTTGTAGAATCTGTTAATTTTTTATTATTTTTTTTCCTAGATCACGCAAGAGATCTGTGACAACACACGCATCTTCAGACTACTGGGATCCGACAGGTGAGAAAAGCGTCCAGATTTACTGTTGCAGGTTTTCAGATAGACGTGCGCGGTCACCGCTGGAAAATGCTTAGAGTACAAAGTGTAAATCTCTGTTTTCTGTGCAAAGTTCCTTGCAAAAGTGCTTTGAACATTTTCACTTTTTGTGATTTTTTACGACGACAAACTTTGACGTGTTTTATTGGGACTTTCTATAAAGAACCGAGTATGGCGTGTGTTTGCTTTTTACCTCCCTTTACTCCTGTGTTACACTTAAACAAATGAAATCCAGTGTAATCAATTCCCTTTATGAATCACTACGAAAGTAAACGTCGTCCACTACGCGAGATTAATAAATGCTTCTGTTCTGCAAACGCCTCAGATGTTTGTTTTTTGAGGACAGTGTATTTTTGAAAATCTCTTCTGAACTGTTCCATCCATCATCTGAAAATTGAGAGATCATGGAACAATTACAGATATAGTACAATATACATCTATAGCAACTAAAAGGCCAGCAGAAAATTGTCCAATTACAGTCCTCCCT